TTCTTTTACTTCAGTGTTAATTGGCAGTTTAATTTACATGTAGTTGCCTATAACTAACTAGAGTACAAACATTAAATGTGTGCAACACTTTCTACTATTTACTACAAAATAGTGTTAATTAAATAATAGAAAACAATAGAATTAGCATAATCAGGCATGTCGGAATTATGCGCGGATGCAGACGCGCATAATTGCCCCCTTTCCGCATAATTTACTAAATCGCGCATAATCCCGCATAATTCGTGTCTTTTTCCCATGTTATACCATTTTTTAAGATGCCTTGCCTTCTACTAATGTTTTTTGTGGTCCATTGACTGTTTTTTTTTATCAAAAAACGCTCCCAAACATGCTTATAATTTTCTGAATATAGTTTTGTTTTCGTGGGCTTCACAAATGTACCAGGCGTTCAAAATTTCATCAGAAAAGAGTCTGGGCACTAGCATTACTGGTCAGCCTGTGCCTTACTAGATCACGTGACAAATTCCAATATGGCGTATGATACAAGTGAGATGTAAAGCGTGCGAGAACGAAAAAGTCTAAAAAGATCTTTCCTTCTGTTGGTACTGCCTTCTGTACTTCGTAACTAAGATAAAAACGGAGTTTTGCATGAAAAACAAACACAATAACCTAAATATATTAATAAAAATTTCCCAAATTTTACGTTCCTGTGATGACGTCATCCCGCATAATTTTCCGCATAATTCACCCTTTTCTCCGCATAATATGGGGAAAAAATTCTGCATAATTTTGATTTTTTTCGCGCATAATTCCGACATGCCTGCATAATGTATTATGTTGCACAGTTTTAGTGTTACTCTAGTAAGTACACTAGTCTTGCTTAGCATGTTGTCATTCTGATATCCATGGATTCTTAACACTTGATTGCTTGCATAGCAATGAGAAACATCCTAGTGAATGGTGACTGCATTTATAGTCTATACTCAAGTAAACTTCGAATTCAAAGCGAATAACCGCTGTTTTATTTGACAGCAGATTCTCTTACGCAAAGAACTTACCAAACACAAAAGAAAGCATGAGAAAATGTTGCTTGTACAATAGCGCTAACAATTTATTAATACATTTTCCCCCAGTTGAGGCTAACCCTGTATTCCCAGAAGGCTCGTACCCTAAGTCTCATGGGAATAGAGGGTTAGTCTCAACACGGGAAAATGCAAATTTTCAAGTCTATTGTAATAACAACATTTTCTCGTGCTCTCTTTTGTGTTTGTAAGGTCTTTGCGCAAGAGAATCTGTTGTCAAATAAAGCAGCGGTTTTGCGCTTTGAATTCGAAACTGGAGTATTGGCAAGAAAGCAGATTAATTTTGGTATTCATTATTATTATTATTATTACCTTAGCAGTGTTAAGTACTGCGCCATAACCAGTAGAAATACCACAACCAAGCAGACATACTTTATC